ACCTAGTGAGCCCTGTGTGGGCCTAGGAGGACAGGCCTTAAGGAAGGCTGTGCCCTTCTTACTATTCCTGGGGATGAAGATCCACTTTCAGTGTTGACTTAAGGCATGAGCTTGGAAGATAAACCAGGCGGCCCTCCTGACCTGAACTGCAGATGGCACCCCCTAGCTGAGGCCCAGGCACGCGGGGCTAGTTACAGAGCTCTCTGCACCATCCTTAGGTGACTGCATAATCTTGAGGCCCCAGAGTGGATAAAAGAAACAAGGATTGGGACTCTCTGAATCTTCTCAGTGCCTCTTGGTCCCAAAGCTTGGCCCACTGGACATCCCAAAGTTAGGCCAGGCATGACTGCGCCTCCTCCACGGTCTCTATCCCCCTGGCATACTGACCGGCACTGGATGGGTACTCAAAACCAATTTGGGGAAGGAACGGATGAGTGGATTGATTCCTTTATTGTTCCCCTGTCAGGCACCGATAAATGGTTGTCGATGTGAACCCCTAATCAACAAGCTGGAGAACCAGTTGGAGGCAACTGTGGAGGAGATCAAAGCAGAGCTGGGGTCAGTTCAGGATAAAATGAACACAAAGCTGGGACATATGGAGAACAAGACCCAGCACCAGGTCAGTGAGTTGCCTGGAATTCTTCTCATGTCCAGGTGTTCTGACAGGAAATGAAATCAGAAAGAGCCCTCAGCACATCCTTCTATTCTGCAGCCTCTGCCCTGAGCATGTCAGGCGGGCTATCAGGCAAGAGGCCTGCCTTTGTTATTTCTTTCAAGCCCCCCAAAATCTTTTTTTTTAATTTAAATTCAGTTAATTAACATATAATGTATTATTGGTTTCAGAGGAAGAGGTCAGTGATTCATCAGTCTTCTGTAACACCCAGTGCTCATTACATCACGTGCCCTCCCCAGTGCCCATCACCCAGTGATCCCATTCCTGCACCCCCTCCCCCCAAGCCAATAACCCTCAGTTTTTTCCTATGATTAAGTCTCTTATGGTTTGTCTCCCTCTCTGATTTCGTCTTGTTTTATTCTTCCCTACCTTCCCCCCAGTCCTCTATTTTGTCTCTTAAATTCCACATATAAGTGAGATTATATAATTGTCTTTCTCTGATGGACTTACTTTGCTTAGCATAATACCCTCTAGTTCCATCCACGTTGTTGCAAATGGCAAGATTTCTTTTTCTGATGGTTGAGTAATCATTGTGTGTGTGTGTATATATATATATATATATATATGCATATATATGCACCACATCTTATTTATCCATTCATCTGTTGATGGACATTTGGGCTCTTTCCATAGTTTGGCTATTGTGGACATTGCTGCTATAAACATTGGGTTCAGGTGCCCCTTCGGATTACTACATTTGTATCTTTGGGGTAAAGACCTAGTAGTGCAATTGCTGGGTCGTACGGTAGCTCTATTTTCAACTTTTTGAGGAACCTCCATACTGTTTTCCAGAGTGGCTGCCCCAGCTTGCATTCCCACCAACAGTGTGGGAGGGTTCCCCTTTCTCTGCATCCCCGCCAACATCTGTCATTTCCTGACTTGTTAATTTTAGCCATTCTGACTGGTGTGAGGTGGTATCTCATTGAGGTTTTGATTTGGATTTCCCTGATGCCGAGCAATGTTGAGCACTTTTTCATGTGTCTGTTGGACATTTGGATGTCTTTGGAAAAATGTCTGTTCGTGTCTTCTGCACATTTCGTGATTGCATTATTCTTTGGGTGTTGAGTTTGGTAAGTTCTTTATAGATTTTGGATATTAACCCTTTATCTGATATGTCATCTGCAAATATCTTCTCCCATTCTGTTGGTTGTCTTTTGGTTTTGTCGACTGTTTCCTTTGCTGTGCAGAAGCTTTTTATCTTGATGAAGTCCCAATAGTTCATTTTTGCCTTTGTTTCCCTTCCCTTTGGCGATGTGTCTAGGAAGAAGTTGCTGCAGCTGAGGTCCAAGAGGTTGCTGCCTGTGTTCTCTAGGATTTTGATGGATTCCTGTCTCACATTTAGGTCTTTCATCCATTTTGAGTCTATTTTTGTGTATGGTGTAAGGAAATGGTCCAGTTTCATTCTTCTGCACGTGGCTGTCCAATTTTCCCAACACCATTTGTTGAAGAGACTGTCCTTTTCCCACTGGATATTCTTTCCTGCTTTATCAAAGATTAGTTGACCATAGAGTTGAGGGTCCATTTCTGGGTTTTCTATTCTGTTCCACTGATGTCTGTTTTTTTTTTTAAGTTTTTTTAATTTATTCATTTGAGACAGAGAGATAGAACATGAGCAGGGGGAGGTGCAGAGGGAGAGGGAGAAGCAGGCTCTCTGCTGAGCAGGGAGCCTGATGTGGGACTTGATCCCAGGACCCTGAGATCATGACCTGAGCTAAAGGCAGACACTTAACTGACTGAGCCACCCCGGCTCCTCAGATCTTCTTTATATCTTTGGTAGAATTCACCTGTGAATCCATCTGGTCCTGGACTTTTATTTTTTGGGAGTTTTTTTATTACCAGTTCAATTTCATTATTAGTAGTTGGTTTGTTAATATTTTCTATTTCTTCCTGATTCAGTTTTGGAAAACTGTATGTTTCTAGGAATTTATCCATTCTTCCAGTTTGTTAACATATAATTTTTTGTAGAAGTCTCTTACAATTCTTTGTATTTCTGTGGTGCCAGTTGTTACTTCCCTCTTTCATTTCTTTTATTTATTTGGGTCCTCTTTTTTTTCTTGATGATTCTGGCTAAAGGTTTATCAATTTTCTTTTCAAAGAACCAGCTCTTGGTTTCACTGATCTTTTCTGTTTTTATTTAGTCTCTGATTCATTTATTTTCTCTCTGATATTTCTTTTCTTCCAACTTTGGGCTTTTTCTTCTTGTAGTTCCTTTAGGTGTAAGGTTAGATTGTTTTGAGATTTTGTTTGTTTCTTGAGGTAGACCCATATTACCTAAATTTCCCTCTTAGAACTCCTTTTGCTGGTCCCAAAGATTCTGTACTATTGTTTTCGTTTTCATTTGTCTCCATATATTTTTTGTTTTTACTTTGATTTCTTTGTTGACCCATTGGTTGTTTAGTAGCATGTTGTTTATGCTCCATGTGTTTATGCTTTTTCCAGTTATTTTTCTTGTATTTCATTTCTAGGTTCATACTTTTATGGTCAGAAAAGGTGCTTGATATGATTTCAGTCATCTTACATTTATTGAGACTTATTTTAACACGTAATCTATTCTGAAGAATGTTCCATGTGCACTTGAATGTGTATTCTGTTTTTGGTTAGAAGGTTCTATAAATATCTGTTAAGTCCATCTGGTCTAATGTATTGTTCAAAGACCATTTCCTGGGTGGCTCGGTTGGTTGAGTGTCTGCCTTCAGCTCAGGTCATGATCCCAGAGTCCTGGGATGGAGCCTCGCATTGGGCTACCTGCTCAGCCAGGAGCCAGTTTCTCCCTCTGCCTGCCGCTCCGCCTGCTCTTGTGCGTTTTTTTCTCTCTCAGGTAAATAAATAGAATCTTTAAATTAAAAAAAAAAAGGCAATTTCCTTATTTTCTATCTGAATGATCTATCCACTGATGTAAGTGGGATGTTAAAGTCTCCTAGTATTATTGTATTACTATCAATTTCTCCCTCTGTCTCCTAATATTTGCTTTATGTATTTAGGTTCTTTGAGGTTAGGTGCATATGTATTTACAATTGTTATAATCTTCTTGTTGGATTGATCCCTTTAATATTATGTAATGTTCTTCTTTGTCTCTTGTTCAGTCTTTGTTTTGAAGTCTCTGTTTCTTATAAGTATTGCTACTTTGGCTACCTCCACCCACTTCCCTTCTGTTTGCATGGAATCTCTTCTATCCCTTCACTTTTAGTCTGTGTGTGCCTTTAAGTCTGAAGTGAGTATCTTGCAGGCAGCAAATAGATGGGTCTTATTTTTTTTTTTAAGATTTGATTTTATTTGACAGAGACATAGCGAGAGAGGGAACACAAGCAGGGGCAGTGGGAGAGGGAGAAGCAGGCTTCCCTCAGAGCAGGGAGCCTGATGCAGGGCTCGATCCCAGGACCCCGGGATCATGACCTGAGCCAAAGGCAGACGCTTAATGACTGAGCCACCCAGGCGCCCCTTATTTATTTATTTTTTTATCCATTCAATCACCCTCTGTCTCTTGATTGGATCATTTAGACCATTTACATTTAATTATTGATAGGTATGTACCTATTGCCATTTTATTGTTGTTGTTTTGTAATTCTCTGTTCCTCTCTTGCTCTGTTTTCTTATGATTGATGACTTTCTTTAGTGTTCTGCTTCACTTTCTTTTGTGTGTGTGTGTGTATCCTAGGTTTGGGGTTTGTGTTTACCATGAGATTCATATATAACCTCGTAATTGTAGAGAGTCTATGTTAAATTGATGGTCACTTGGGGAACCTGGGTGGCTCAGGAGGTTAAGTGACCAACTCTCTTGATTTTGGCTCAGATCATCATGTCAGGTCATGAGATCGAGCCCCACATTGGGCTCTGCGCCAGGCATGGAGCCTGCTTGATTCTTGCTCTCCCTCTGCCCCCTCTCTCCCTGCCCCATCCTCCACTCATGTGCACATGCATGCTCTCTCTCAAAAAAAAAAAAAAAAAAAAATTGTCACTTAAGTTTGAATACATTCAAAAAGAACTTCATTTTTACTGACCCCCCCCATATTTTTGTATGTTGTCATTTTGTATCTTTCTTTTGAGTTTCCTTAACTAATTTTAAAGATACAATTTCACCTCTTTGTCTCTTAACCTTCATACTAGTTTTATAAGTGATTGCTTTACTACCTTTACTGTACGTTGCTTTTACTCATGAACTCTTTTTTTCATAATTTTCTAATTATGGACTTTTTACTATTTAAAAAGATCTCTTTAAAATTTCTTGTAAAGTTGGGGCACCTGGGTGGCTCAGTCGGTTAAGCATCTGTTTTCAGCTCAGGTCAAGATCCCGGTGTCCTGGGATTAAGCCCCGTGTTGGGCTCCCTGCTCAGCAGGGAGTCTGCTTCTCCCTCTCCCTCTGCCCTTCCCCTGGCTTGTGCTCTCTCTCTCTCTCTCAAATAAATAAATGGAATCTTAAAAAAATTTTTTTCTTGTAAGGCTGTTTTAGTGGTGATGAATTCTTTCAGCTTTTGTTTAGGAAAGTCTTTATCTCTCATTCGATTCTGAATAATAAACTTGCTGGGCAGAATATTCTTGGTTGTAGGTTTTTTTTTCCCAGTACTTTGAATATATCACGTCACTTCCTCTGGCCTGGAAAGTTTCTAAAAAATCAGCTGATAGCCTTATTGGGGTTTCCTTGAATGTTACTAGTTACTTGTGCTGCTTTTGAAATTCTCTTTATCTTTACTCTTTGACATTTTAATTATGTGTCATGGTGTGGATCTCCTTTGGGTTCATTTTGTTTAGAACTCTCTGTGCTTCCTGAACCTGGTGTCTGTTTTCCTCCCCCAGCTCAGGGAAGTTTTTAGCTATCTCTTCACATAAGTTTTCTGTTCCCTTCTGTCTTTCTCTTCCTTCTGGGATGCCTATAATGCAAATGTTTGTGGTTGTCAAAGAGATCCCTTCACCTATCATTATTTTTTAAAATTATTTTTTCTTCTTTTGTTCAGTTTGGGTGCTTTCCATTACCTCATCTTCCAGATTCCAGATCCATTCTTCCTCATCCTCTATTCTGTTGGTTCCTTATATTGTGTTTTTCATTTTAGTTACTATATTCTTCTCTGATTGGTTCTTTTTATATTTTCTGTTTCTTTGTTGAGGTTCTGAATTCATCCTCTTCTGTGCAGCTGGTGAGCATCTTTAAGACCATTACTTTGAACTCTTATCAGGCAGATTGGCTACCTCCATTTCATTTAGTTCTTCTTTTGTTTTGTTCATTTGTTTGAAGTATTATTCCTCTGTCTCCTCGTTTGCTTGACTTTCTGCTTTTGTTTCTTGGGCAGAATTAGGCAAAACAGCTACTTATCCTAAACTTGAAGGAATGGTCTTATGTATGGTAATCCACTCTGCAGAGTGTGTATGCTTGGTGACTTTGGCTGGCTGGCAGAACTGTGGCTGGTGTGGCCTGGCGGGGGGGGCGGTGGTCTCCGGGCTCTCTGCACTGGGGCTTAGTGGCATGGCCTGAACTGAAGTGGGTGCAAATTGGGGCAGTCCTGGGGCTCTCTGTGCCAAAGGCCTCATGGCAGGTCAGCTGAAGCTGAAGTGTGGGTATAGGGATGTCCCGGAGCTCTCTATGAGGAGGGTGCCCTGGCAGACCAGCGGAAGCTGAAGTGGGTGCAAGGTGATGTGTTGCAGGGTGCTCTTCACGGGATGTACCCTGGCACGTCATCTGGAGCCACAGGGGAGTGGGGGGGAGGTCTCAGGGCACTGTGTTGAGTGTGCCCTGGCAAGTCACTGGGAGTTGGAGCGACGTGGGCCTGGAGTGTCCAAGGTGCTTTGCGTCTGTGTCACCTTGGCAACATGGCTGGAGCTGTCGTGAGCACTGACCAGGGTGTCCACGTGTGTGCCATGCTGGGGCTGCCTTGGTGGGACAGCTCGGGCTGGTGTGGGTTAGGGCAGGGCCCACTGACGTGGCAGGGTGCCTGGAGTGCCCAGGCCCTGCTCCCATCACGGTGATGGGGGAACAGAGACTCTGGTGCTTGCCGGCCCTCCTGACTCGAGAACTTTCCGACGGCTCCCCCGACATCTGGCAGGGCTCTGGTGCCTTTGTATTCTAGTTGCCCTTTTACATCCAGGCTTTTCTTCTGTGCACCAGGGCAGACAAATCTTTCCACGTTTGCTCAGTACTCTCTGCACTACAGTTCAGTGTTGGGGGGGGGTCCCTTTGGTACCATGTCTCTGCCTTGCTGTTCTCTATATGGTTTATTTTCTGTGGCACAGAAACTGCTCAGTCATCCCCCAGGGCTTTAGGAGGAATTGCTCTATAAATAGGTGTAGATTTGGTGGGTCTGTGGAGGAGATTAAGGGCCTTACGACCTCCCCATCTTGGACCCGAAGAGCCCTTGTCATCTTTGTAACTATGTTTAAATTTAGTAATGTCTTTGACATCCTGAGTTTTTGTGCTATTTAAGACAATGTACTCTTCTGTATATGGAGCTAAACATATCATTTGTTTTTGTCTAGTACATGGTTTATTTATTTATTTTTATCTCCAGTATAGTGAACAGTGTTATATTTCAGGTGTACTATAGAGTGGTTCAACAATCTCACACATCACCCAGTGGTCATCCCAAGGAGTTCATTCCTAAATCCCCATCACCTATTTCACCCAAACCCCCACCCACCTCCCTAAGTTACACCTTAGGTTAACTTAATACTAGGTCTGCATTGGCTCAAGTTGTAGATTTACTGTGTGTTCAGTCTCTTCAACACCTTAGGACTTTAACAAATGAGAAAAAGAAGGCTTGACTACACAGAAACATATGCTCAAGGATTGTGAAAACCTAGAGTTCGATGAATACTAGATGAAACCTTAAGTTAGGTCACCTTAAGTTATATATTTTTGCTTCCAGCTTTTTTCACCTAATTTGATGTCCTGAGCACTTTCCCATGTCCTTTGCTTCATAATAGTCCAGCATATTAATACAACAGTTTATTTAACTATTCCTTTTTATTAGACTTTAAAGTTGCTTATAGTTTTTCACTCTTATAAATAACGCTATGATGGACATTTATGTGCGTAAATGTTTGCTTTTTTTTTTTTAAGATTTTATTTATTTATTTGACAGAGAGAGACACAGCGAGAGAGGGAACACAAGCAGGGGGAGTGGGAGAGGGAGAAGCAGACTCCCCACTGAGCAGGGAGCCTGATGTGGGACTCAATCCCAGGACTCTGGGATCATGACCTGAGCCAAAGGCAGACGCTTAACGACTGAGCCACCCAGGTGCCCCATGCGTAAACGTTTGCTTTTCAAGTTATTTGCTCAGATTTAGGATAACTGGGTCCAGAGTTAAGAATATGTTTAAGGCTCTTGACAAATATTAGTAATCTACTTAACAGAAAGGTTGTGTGAATTTATATCCAACAGGCAGGATAGGATATAAATTGAGTCTCTGTCTCAAACTTTTGCTGTCATTAATATTACCATTTTTAAAGTTTTTGTCGAATTAAGAATACTGTTTAATTCTTGTTTCCTTGTTTGTTGGTGAGGTAGAACATTTTGGGTTTATTTGCTATTTGTACTTCATGGAAAGCGCCTTCAAGAAATCTTTTCCTAATGCCATAATATATTAGTTAAGACTGTCTTATAAATAAAACCCACTTCGGCTAGCCTAAGCCCAGAGAGGAAATGTGTTAGATAAATGCTGGATCTTCTCAAGGACCTCGCTTCATTTCAAGGAGGGTGACAGATGGGGGTGTGGAACCTTCGTCCTAATTCCTAACCACAGGTAAAGGACCCTGGTGTGGCACGAGTCAGGCACTCCTGCGTGAATCAGTCAGCCATGCCCTGGAACAAAGCTCTGTCAACACGGTTGCTCTTGACAGAGGATAAGGAGGTAGGGGAGTAGGCCAATCCTAGAAAACAGGAGAGCGGCTCACAGGAAAACATGAGGGCTGAAGGAACGAAACAGAAAGTGCTCACCACAACTCCGGAACCTACTGCTCTATTAGTTTTTTGAGCATCATGTGTGTCCCTGACGAGAGAGCTCAGCAGCGAGCCCTCGTGGGCTGGCCCCTGCTAACAAAGTTCCTTTCCCCTGTTTGGACCTTGTCAAAGCAGTGGAAGTTTGGCTTTCCTGGGTGTTAGGGCCCTATGGGAAATGTCACGATGTTGGGGGGACCTAGGAGGGCATGACTGAAAGGGGACAATCATCTGTTCTCTGACACACACACTTTAATTCCCCACCCTTCTTCACACTTGCTTTGACTACTTTCAGCGAAGCACTAAGGGGGTTGGCTCATTAAGAACACTGGATAAAAGCGCTGAGCATTCAGCTGCTTTTGCTGCCTCACAGGCAACCACTAACATTTAAGGGTGGGGTGTTAAAAATTAATAGAAAGGATAATTAAGATCAGGTACAGCTGCATACTTCTAGAAGTAGTTTTTCCTTCCAATAATAGTCTTGGAAATAATGTTCTAAAACATATAAAAATTCTATGTACAAGGTCTGTTGGCTTATGTTGTAGATTTACTGTGTGTTCAGTCTCTTCAACCCCTTAGGACTTTAACAAATGAGGAAAAAAAGCCTTGAATAACACAGAAACATGCTGAGGGATTGTGAAAACCTAGAGTTTGATGAATACTAGATGAAACTAGGATAAAAGAGAAGTGGAGGTTTGCTTCTGTTCTCTCTGGCCCCTGCTTGGTCCCCCAGAGCCCCGTCTCAGGAGTCAGGAGTCCGCGCCCCATCCTTAGATCATGTCAGTCCTGTGCTCTTTGCCCGCTGAATCCTAGATGCGTGTTCTGGACAAGCTGATGGTCGAGCGGCTCGCAGCGGAGAGAACTGAGTGCATGACCCGCCTGCAGCAGCATTCAGACACCGAGAAGCACGAGGGGGAGAAACGACAGGTGAAAACCAGGATGCGTCGTTAGCTGGGTATTTACTACACCTCTCCACCGAGTTAAGACTTGGACCCATCGTTGGAAACCCAGAGGCCAAGAACCCATAAAAGCATTTGTATTATGTAGCATGTCCTTTTTAATGTCCTTTTATTCATTTATATAATGAATAGAAAAGAACATGTAGTTCAGTCCATTTGTTGCTGAATATTCTGGTAATTGGTGGAGACTGAAACGTTCATAGAATACGCTGGGGAAGATGTGGTCTGTGCTTGGAATCTCTTCTATGTATTGTGCATCTGTTAGGCATTGCTCTGTTGTTGAGCTAGAGTTGTTTCCTGCCCTTGGGGAGTTCGTCTACCTAAGAACAACACACATAAAATGAGTGCTTGTTCAGTGTGTGAGAGTTCATGCTCCTCAACAGCCAAAAATTCTTGATTTGTAAGATTTGGGAAGCTTTGGGTGTTCAAGGTGTCTCTTGCCCTAAGTCACTCAAAGATTATAGAAACTATCAGGTTTGGTGCTGGGTGAATCCTGGTCTACACAGGGCAGCAGAGGAGGCTGTGTGGCTGTGGGAGTGGAGGGAATCCACAGCTTTTAGGCTTGTCAAGATGATATCCTGAACTTTCATAATTGAAGAGTCCACTCTTGATGCTTTCATTCATAAACCACATGTCCAATTCACCTAATCATTTGTGCGGGTTTGTTTTTGTTTTTGTTTTTGTAGATGTCATTGGTGGATGAATTAAAAACCTGGTGCATGTTAAAGATTCAGAATCTGGAGCTGAAGCTTTCTGGAGATTCTAGGGCCTCTAGGACCAAATCCGTACCATCTACTTACGAGTCCTCTACAGGTAACGCGTGTGCAGAGAGAGCCATTCCATCCAAAGGTGGTAAAACCCCCCGAGATTGTTCTCTGCTGTATCCAAAGGCAGCCCCTAGGATAGGGCTGTGGAAAACACTGGATTCTAAATTCTATAGGGCTAAGAACTTACTTTGGTTACTGCTGTACTTTCAGTTACTATACGGTAATAAGGTACTCCTATTTAAGTATTCAGACATTTCTGAATAAAGGAATAATCAAGAATTGTTGACTGGTGATAGCAGTGTTTCAGGTACAATGTTGATGGTGTCAGAGTGGGTCCCAAAGATGAAGAGTGAGGAATGAACATCTGTCTCCTCAGCAGGGTCCTTGCCCTGGCCCTTGAGCTGCTTTCTACTTGATCAGCCTTTGACCTTTGTCCAACTGTGTAAAACCTCCATAAACAGCAGTTCATATATTGAAGCCCCAGGTGCTAGATAGAGATCTTTCAAGCAAAGTGTCTTTTCATTAGCCGCAGTGATTATACTCAGTGCTAATTTTGAGGACATTTAGAACCTTCGTAATTAGGCCTCTGTGAGGGATTTTGATATGTCATGTGTATTATGTTATTATAGGCCATTTCTGGAACTGTGGTTTTATCTTCTTTGTGCCCATAACATTGGGGAAATCCTGGGCAAATTTTTCATGCTAGGTCTAGTTATGGAACTTGGCTGGAGCTCTGGGTATAGAGAGCTAGTAACTGGGGCTATGGTGTGGAAAAGGCCCAGAAATTAGGGAATGGGCAGATTCATTCTCATCTATGCATACCCAGTTCTGGAGATACTTGGTGAGCTGTGTCATTCTTAGCAATCACAAAATTACCCAGAACTTTCGAAGCTTTCTAACTGGCTAAAGGAAAGGCCAGCAACTTTTTTGGCTTAGATGCCACTAGTGTCGTTAATCCGTGAAAGCCCTGACAAGCCAAAATGATCATCGGGGGGAAGTGGAAGTGGGGAGGGCAGAGGAGAAATTGCACATGGTGGTTGGCAGTTGGGAAGGCTTATGGTTGACAGGATTAACCAGGACTCTGAAATGCCGACCCAGAGCCACGGGACTGTGTGAATGTGGTTTTGTTTTCCTTCTGAAACTAGGTGTGGATCAATCAGTGGTCACTGCAGGTCCAGTAGCAGCTTCTGACAGTTCTCCTCAGGTGGTGAGGCCCAAGGAAAAGGCCTTCAACCCCACGGCTCCCCAGAGAACACAGCAGGAGCTGTCTTCCTCAGACTGTATGGGTTCCCGGCTGAGGAATGTCAAGGTCCAGACAGCCTTGCTACCCTTGAAAGAGGCAGCCAAATGTGATCAGCAGGCTGGGCCCTGTGTAGACAGAGGCACCCAAACCAGGAAGTCTGGGAAAAGCGGGCAAACAAGGCATCGGACCCAGCACCCAGCACCCAGCAACCCCTGTGGGCCACCACCAGCAACAGGCAGCGAGCAGACCGCCCCTCACACTCGAGATGCCTCCCAAGCTCTGGAGATTACCCAGTACTTTTTTGAGGCTGTTTCTACCCAGATGGAAAAATGGTATGAAAGGAAGATTGAGGAAGCACGAAGCCAAGCCAGTCAGAAGGCCCAGCAAGACAAGGCCACCCTGAAGGAACATATTAAAAGCTTAGAAGAAGAACTTGCTAAACTAAGGACAAAGGTGCAGAAGGACAATTAGGACCTGGGGCATGGCACAAGAAGGGATTCTTGATGATTGCTGGCTTTGCAGCTCTAGAAGAGCTAGGCCCAAGGTGTCCATTATTGTGCACGCAGTGGACTTGTCTTTCAAAAAAAGTCAAATTTCTGAGATGTGCCAGACCCATGCTTCCTATGCCCTGAAGTTATGACGACTTCAACAGTGAGACTGAAACCAGGGGACGCTTGCTTAGTTTCAGGTTTCATTACAAAGTCATAACCTCAGTCCAGGCTCATCTGAGGTTCGAAAGCTCAGATTAAGTGAGCCACGCTTAGAAACTGACGATCTGTAGAGTCTAAACCCTAAAATTCAGGATGTATGAAATAATACAAATCAAAGGGAAGAAGAAAAACGAATCCCTTGTGAACGCCAGTAGTCATTCATGTGACGCGCACTTGCTGGGCCCAGACGGGCATCTTTCTGTGAGCTCTGTGGCTGAGATGCGCAAAGTTCCCTCTCAATTCCTACTTCTCACAAGGCTGACCTTTTAACCAGATGAAAACTTATCAAATAGATTTTGAGGAGAAAAAGATTTTCATAATGTCACTAGATCCAGCATATCTTAAAATATTTTGCAAAGTCGGAGGGTATTTAAAATAATGAGAAATTGGCAAAAAGCACTGGGAATATTTGTTAATAAACTCAAATGAGAAAGGTTCAAATCATTGGGTCATTGTTTCTGTATTTTCAGCCAAAATACAGCAATACGACAATTGATTAATCCTGATTTTAAAGATTAATGGAAAAACATTCATTTAACAATTACCTGAAGCTTCTATCCTTAATCACACCCAATTATCCAAGAGTACCTTTCTAAATTTGAGCTTTTTGATCTACATTTTATAAAGAAGTAAGGCTATTTCTTGAAAGTATTTCACTTCTAATTGTGTCCGGTCATTGAAGAGCCTCAAAAGTTTCCCACTGCTTTGCAGTGATTCTGTCAAGGTAAAATAATTCAATAACTTGATCTAGACCCCACTGTTTCCCAGCTTTGTGGAGCCCCAAGGATTTTACTCTGCTCTGTGGTGTATACAAAGTTATAAAAGTAGCTTGGGTATGTTGAAATTTTGGATTTCTCCGCTTCTTGTCCCTTGGTATGTGGGATTATATTCATCTCCTCCAGATTCCATGTATGCACAGAAATCTCCATTCTGTTTCCAACAACACAGGAACTGAGTAGCTATTGTCTCTAACGTTGAATAAAATGTTGCTCATTGAGCCAAAGAGAAAATGATTTCCTGACATGGGCACACCCAGAAAAACACAGTATGTTTATAGTCCCTTTGTTTTTGCCTAATCAAGCTCGTGGTTATTTTTAATAGTGACAATCTATGAACAGAGGCATTCCTAACAAATCTAGATCTAGATGTAGGTCACCATTACACAACCCAGATAGGGAATCAATTTAATGTCCTCTCGAGCTGATGTTCATGTCTGTGAGCTTGTCTTGTTCCTCAACTACCATTCAGGATGTGGTGGTGTTCCCGAGACTCCTGTTACCCTCGGTGGGGAGGCGCCTTCTCTCTTCATTCCCCTCTGCGCCCCCAGGCAGAACCACCCAACTGCAGTGGGATGGTGCCTTCGGTGTCTCTCGGGTCATGGGCAGCTTTAGAATCCTTCCTCAACACAGTTTCTTGAGAACTGCCCGATACTCAGAGATGAAATCCTGAGATACTCCGTAAGTTGTAGTCTAAGCAGTTCTTTCCACTTACCACATATCTCCTGTTACCCAAGGAGTATCCTTGTTGAGAAATGCCTGAAAACAAATTAAATTTTATCTCGACCATAGAGTGCTTTGGAAGGAAGTATTTTGATTATGTAACCTCTACCCATCAGAAGCAGGCAGCTTATCATTATGAACTGGGTATTTTTGTCCAAGTCACAGGGAAGAGACGAGGGAGGAATGAGAAGAGTTGAAGACACCTGGTCTGGCCGATTACATGGATCCTTCTCTAACCGAAGGGAACCCAGTAGAGGCAAGGAAACAGAACACCATCAGTTGGCCTCCTAACCCAAACTAGTGGCAGCATCTCAAGATGGGTTTATTTTATGGGTTTTTATTCTTTAGTATTGTCAAAAATTCAACTTCGGGTCTGATGGGTATCTTTCCTTATTTTTCCCTTAGGCTATCTGCTAAAATGAGCAAATGCCATGATAGTACTCTTCCAAAGAAGCAAAACTATTAACTGAAAGTCTGTCATGTGGGTCGTGTTTGAAACGGAGACTGGAACTTTCAATAGCTATGGGGGAAAATGTAAAACACAGAAAGGTTGTATAATACTGAAGTGGGGTTTTTATTAGTGAATTATTGCATTGAGTAAAGTAAAATCTGTGGTTAGACTGAATATAGTTCTAATCTTACTTTTGACTTCGGGAGCCCAAAATAAAGGAATTGATGTTTTCATGCTTAAATCTTTTTTTTTTTTTTTCCAGTCAAGCGCTGATACTTGAGAGGTATGTTGTCTTCTATTTAATATTTTTATTACCTTGAATTTGTCTCTTTCAAGCATTAAACATGGTTCTCAACACTATGGATATTAAAATCCTTATTTAAAAAATGAAAATGTGACTGTTTAGTGTATATTTTCGTTTGTGTGGTTAATCAAATTTACGGTTCCCAGAAAGAGTGCCTTCATGCAGGCATACTTTACCTTGTTTTGATAGAAGGGTAACTTCTGGTAAATACATCTGCTTTAGAGTAGAGATCAGGTGTACTGCATGAAAAATAAATTCTTCAAAAGCCAATAATATGGAAATATTTCTCAGTACAAGCTTTAATGTTTTGTTTAGACTGCTGACCTTTCAGAAAATAGTGAACTGAGAGAACAAAACCTCACTTATAACTATATGCAGGCAAAATAACATTTTCTAACAAATTACTCATAAAAGCTAAATACATTTCCTGTGATATAAAAGCCAAATCGATTAAGATTTAGAAGACAAAACCAGTGACCTTTTAGAATACTTATAAGGAAAAAAATTTAAATTGTTTTCTGTTGTGATTTTTTTTTTTTTTTAAGATTTTATTTATTTATTTGACAGAGAGAGACACAGCGAGAGAGGGAACACAAGCAGGGGGAGTGGGAGAGGGAGAA